TTCTATACTCACCTAGAATGGTCACTAAAGGGATGAAGGAAAGAGAAGGGGGAAGAGAGGGAAGAGAAGGGGGCAAGGAGGAAAGGAATAAAGGAGGGAAAAGAGGAAGGGAGAAGGAGGGAGGGGGCAAAAGGAGAATGAGGGAATGGACGTAAGAGGAGGAAGGAAAGAAAGTGAGGTAAAGTGACAGGAGAAAAGAAAGAAAGAAAAGAAACAAGGGAGGTAGAGGATGAAGGGATGGAAAGAGGGAGAAGAGGAGGAGGGGAGAATCTAGGGTGAAGCTGGGCAACAAAATAAAATGAGTTCAGGAGATGGTGTGAGACGCATAAAGGAGAGCATTTGAAGTTTGCCACTCACCTGTTGGTGTGAAGTCCATCTGACACACAGGCCCTGCAGAAGGTGAGGAGCCAGTTCTTTACAAAGCTTTGTGACTACCAGTCTTCCCTCATTGGGAGACCCAGAATCTGATCACACAGTTTCTTTTTCCTCCGTAAAATAAGAATCCTATCTATCCTTGTCTTCTTTGGGATCCACCAAAACTCCAGACTTCCATCCCCCAGGTACTTAAAAGCCAGTGATCTGACCTAAGAAAATGGGCCTTTGTTCTCCCCTTTGGGGTTTGGAAATCTGAATGCCCTACTCTTTTTAAGTAATGCAGGAGTCCTGCCCATCTGCCATGAGAACTGAGGATATTCTTTAACCCTAGATATTTTCCTCCTGCCTGGAGATCCGGAGAAACCTGTGCTCACCCGAGACCCAGCAGTCTGTCTTCCCCCATTTAGGACTTGGGAATCTGGATACCAGTCCTGATTCCTTTTTAAAACCTGGATGTTGAGTTCCAGATGATCAGATACAGCTCTCAGCCCAGTCAAGGACCCCCACCTACCCACCCACCCCCCACACAGGGGAGGGACAGCTCACAGAGAGTCAACAGCTGGAGTGTCAGCGACAGGATCATGGCGGGCACTCTCCGTAGAGCTGGGGAAAAGACTAATCCTGCCTTTTGCCTGCTGAGGATATGAAGCCACAACAGAAAGCCACGTGAGATCCCTGTTTAGGAAAGAGGAGTCAGGTGGAAGCCCCTGGGTAACTGTGTCATAGCCCCACTGTCTTGGAAAAAGTTGCAAGAGGAACAGTCATAAGCTCTAGTGTTCATTAATTCAGTCTAAAAGTAGGGGAGGAGGGCTGGGCATGTTGTAGTTAAGTGAGAGACTGCTTGCCCAGTGTGTTCTAGCCCCAATGCTGAGAGAGAAAGAAAAGGAAGAGGAAGACAAAAGCATAAACAAAACAAAAATGAGGAAAGGGGAAAAGATCTTTGGTGCACAGTACCAAAGTACATACTTTGGGTCTCACTGACTCAAGCCAGATAACTTTTTGTTTTGGTTTGATTTGGTTTTTCAAGACAGGGTTTCTCTGTGTAACTCTAGCTGTCCTGGAACTACCTCTTGTAGACCAAACTGGCCTCGAACTCACAGAGATCCGCCTGCTTCTGCCTCCAGAGTGTTGGGAGCACCACTACCACCCGGCACCCAGATAAATTTTTTTTAAAAGTGATGTGCACGGTCTTGGAGGCTCGGGCTTGTAATCCCACCTACTTTGGAAAGCCCAGGCAAGAGGACCCCAAGTTCAAAACTTGCGGGACCAACCTGAGCCATTCAATATAACCCTGTCTCAAAATAAAAACTAAAGACAGGGAGCAAAATTCGGCAGTCAACAGTAAATGACTTGCCTAGAATCCGCCTGCTAGAACCTGGGGGCGTGGTTTAGATGTAGCGTACAAGCAGTTGGAGGCGTGGCTCAGTGGTAGATTGGCTGTCGATTCTACCCTGGTTTCAGTCTTCAGCGAGACTGAGGGGCGAAAAAACGAATGCTGTGAGCTGCATGCTAGTAACATAAAGCACAGAAAGTCCTTAATCTAGTTGATATCAATTTAGAACTTTCAAAATGAGGGAATGTATAGATGTGACCTCAATGTAAGGCGGACATTCTTGTATGAAAACCCTAGGTTACTTCTTTGATGCTTTTTTTTTTAAAGTTAAAAGAAGAAGTTGAGAGCACCAGGTGTGCAAAGTCCTTGTAGTTTAAATCTTTGCCACCATGGTTCTCTGTTCTAGTTTAGAGTTGGCTAAGCCTCACTCCAGAACTACAACTCCCGCAAGGCTCCAGGCCCTCGCCTTCCTAATCTGCTACTTCTACGCCAAAAGGCGCAACCCAAGGGGCGGAGCCTCGCGCAAGGGAAGGGACCACAACTCCCAGAGAGCTCCGCGCCCTTGTCGGCTCCAAGACCAAGATGGCCGCGAGTAAGTACGGGCTCGGGGTTTCGCGGGTCTCAAGGAGTTCCAGGGAGCCTTGGGCAGACCCGTGACAGAGGCTCAGTAGAGCTCTGAGGCGCGGTGGGAATCCGTCCCAGAAGAGGGGCGCATCGGTCACGAGGGCGGTTTTGCGAAGCAGGGCTAGTACGAAAGGGTTAGAGGTCACCGCAGCAGCCCCCAAGGGTGACTCTTCTCCCATCTCTCCAGGAATCACCACTTTCCTCAAGAATGCCTGGGCGAAGGAGCCGGTGCTGGTGGTGTCCTTCTCAGTCTGGGGCCTCGGTGAGTGCCCCAGGAGCAAATGTGCATCCTCCGTCCTGAAGTCATCAACATTACACAGTTCATCTTGCATCCCTTCTTGCCCGTTCTATCCCGACATTACTGTAGCCCCCTTCCCACACTACCCTACACACACTTAAGCAAGAGGTGCATGCACTTGCTTGTACTTTGACTCCGAAGTGCAGGATTTCTTAAGGAAGTCTGTGGTAGGCAAATCTCCCAGCAGGCCTCCCTGGTGAAGAACCCACTGTGAAACAGGGCTGATCACGGTTCAGATGGGCTAGGGGATAAGAGTGACTTGTTAAGCAAATTCTGGTTTGGAAGATTTGGGGTTTGGCAGTCATCACAGGGCCCACAGTTATGATCAATATCACAGGCCTGGAGTGTGAAAATGAAGTTCTAGAACCCACTACCATGACTTCAAAGGCCTAGAATGCTCTAAAGTATGTGGTTTCAATGTAGAAAATGTGTTGGGATAATGATTTGAGGCATATTCGATTCGTTCTTTAAATTTAAAATTACATTTGTGTGTGTGTGTGCCACCAGTTAGTTGTAGAGGTCAGAGGACAATTTCTGGAGTCCGTTCTCCTTCCACTGAGTCCTAGGGATTTATCTTAGGTTGTCTGTCTTTTTTTTTTTTTGAGACAAGGTTTCTCTATAGCTTTGGTGCCTATCCTGGAACTAGCTCTTGTAGACCAGGCTAGCCTCAAACTCACAGAGATCTGCCTGCCTCTGACTCCTGAGTGTTGCAATTAAAGGTGTGCGCCACAACCTTGGCTAGGTTGTCAGTCTTGGCCTCTCACAACTCCAAAGATAAATACTTACTAGAACTGATTTTATTTGCTCCTTTTCAGTTTTTTTTTTTTTATAGGGGAATATACTGTTTAGCCCAAGCTGGCCTAAAACTCACAGCAGTCTGCCTTGGCTTCTCAAGTGTTGATAGTACAAGCATGAGCCACCACTGCTGCAAATCTGTTTGAAAGTGTGTGTGTGCCCGTGGGGGTGAGAAGAGGGCATAGTATCCTTGGAGCGGGAGTTATAGGCAGTTATGAGCTAATGGACATGGCTGATGAGAATTGAACTCAAGTCCTCTGGAAGATCAGCAAATGCTCTTAACTAATGAACCATCTCTCCAGCCCCATCACCTTTTAAAAACAGATTTATGTTTATGTGTGTTTCTGTATGCCACATGAGTTTGATGGATACACTATTGCTGGAGTTATAGTTGCCGAAAGTTGTGAGCTAGTCACCCTCCTAGATACGGGGAGCCAAACTCCGCAAGAACAAGTATTCTTATTTGCTGAGCCATCTCCAACCCCTTTTTAACAGGTGTAGTTGAAGATGTGAAGCTGCATGTGGCTGTTACCTTGTATTAGCAACGCTGGCCTAGTAATGTTCTTGTTACACACCCCCTCCACTCCTGAAGACTCTTCTGTAGCCCACATGGGCTAATCCAAAAGCTATCAACCCATGACCAGCCTGTGGGCCTTGTGCATTCCCGGGTGTTAGGCTCTAACCTCTTCGGTTCTCCCCACTCTCAGGATTTAGACTAACCCGACAAGTGGGATGGTGGAGTGCTGAGGGATCCACCAAAGGGCCCTCCTGGTTGTGCTGGCCCTTCCTGCTCCCCTTTGCCAGGGCTGTTTCTACCATTTCCCTACATCCCTGGTCTCACATTTATGCCTTTTCTCCTCAGCTATAATTATGCCCATAATCAGCCCCTACACCAAGTATGCTTCCATGATCAACCAGGCAACACCCTACAACTACCCAGGTGAGCCGAGACCTGTGCTGGGGGGAGGGGCAGACATAGCTGTGTAGGAGTCACTGCTGCATTTGGATGTTCTTTGTAACTTAACATGATTTGAGTTTCTCTCTCCAGATTTCTGTTCCTCTCTGGGCTCCTCCCTCCCTGTTAGAGATAATCTCCCTCATTTGCCCGTCTTTGCCTCACTCTGCTGAATCTCTGGCCCTCTTTCTCACCTGGAGCCCCATACTGTCTCTGAATATAGAAACAGACTAGCTGTTCTCTACAGGACCCTAAAGATCTGCTGTTCTCAAATGGCTCATCCTTTTGTTTTCCAGTCCCTGTACGAGATAATGGAAACATGCCCGATGTGCCCAGCCACCCCCAGGACCCTCAGGGCCCAAGCCTGGAATGGCTGAAGAACCTGTGAATACTCCTGTTGATGAAAGAGGCCCTTTCCCTGTTGCCCCCCAATAAAAATAGGAAAACCAACCCTACAGTCTTTTCTTTGGTATGTTTCTTTTGTTGTTGTTTTGAGAAGGAAGTCTCATTATCTATGTAGCCTAGGCTGAACTTAAGTGTGCAGCCAGGGTGGCCTCAAACTAACGGCACACTGGAGTGTTTCAGGGATGGGAGAAGCAGACAGTGACTTAGAACAGGTGTAAATGGGGAGTCTGTTTATTGGGGAGAGAGGGTTAGTCAAAGGGTGGGCTGGCTAGGGTCGGGTAGGGTAGCAGTTTGTCCGGCCCTCGAGAAACCCAACTTGAATCCAAGGCCTCATCTGCTTCAAAGCCAAAGTCTTCCTCAACTTTAATCTGGAGAGATAAGTAACAAGATGTGAGTGGATATAGAGATCTAGGAGACATAGCCCACCCCCAACATACCCAATCAGCCCGTGGGCACCAGTTTCCCGGGCCTTAAACTTTCAAGCAACCCTGACAAGCATCCCTCAACTGACTTCCTCTTCTCCCACTGTGCTCACATTGGGTCATTTTCTTCTTCAAGCTCTAAATTTTCTAACTCCTTTTTCCTATCCTCCCTGTCCTCCATCCTGCTGCCACTCTGCCCAGCCCTCCCCCAGCCCCGGACCCCTCAAAACCCAGCCCAGGATTCTCACCACGCCTTGGCCCCAGCCCTCGGCTCCCACCTGCACTGGGGCCAGTTCTGGGGTCAACGAAGCCCCCACCCGTGGTGCCCGCCGCCTCTTTCGCCCACTGGGCCCTTCACCAGGGGCTGGGCTGCTGGGGTCTAGGTGTGCAGGTGTCCGTTGGGGTGGGGAAAGTCCCTCTTTCTCTGGAGGCTCGTTCTCAGCATTGCCTGGAGTGGGGACATCTGTGCCTTGGCTGCCATCATCCTGGTAAGATGAAAATTGGAGGCAGTTAAACACTTAATTGGACTCCCCGTTACCCCACCCAACCTTCCTGGAGACCAGAGCTCACCTCCAACACAATGGTGAACTGGCTAGCCCGGTAGTCATCCCCGTAGGAGTCGAGCACCCTCATGAGGAACCTGTGTGGATAGAGAGATGCAGGCATTGGGGCATCTTATCTTCTGGGACGGGGAGGGGAGTAACAGATAATAAAGTCCAGATCTCCCTTTACTTCAATCTAAAGTTGTCCCAAACTAGGAAGGTTTGGAGCTCTGTAGCCTGAGAGCATAGCCTTGGAACCTGCCTGACTAAAGTCTGTGAATGATAGGTGACAACCTTTGCTGCGTGGGCTAGATGCTATAATGGCATATTCCAAAGACCTGTTCTCTCAAGTGTACAGTGTGATTGTCAGCATCTGGTGAGCGTTCAATTGAATTCCAATTGGATCCCCATCACGAGGATCCCAGTACTGCCGCCAGATAGTTCACGAATTCCTCTAACTCCAGCTCCACGGCTCTCTGCTAGTCTTCACAGGAACCCACCAACGTATGTGCCTATATCACACACAGAGACCCAAAGATTTTTAAAAATAAACTGATAGATTTTCTGTACTGAACAGAAACACCTGGGTGTGGTGGCGCACACCTTTAATCCCAGCACTTGGGAGGCAGGGAAGGCAGAGGCAGGTGGACCTCCAAGTTTGAGGCCACACTGGTCTACATAGAGTTCAGGACAACCAGGACTACACAGAAAAACAAAACAAAACAAGAAAACCTGTCTAGAAATAAAACAAACAAGGGCTGGAGGGTGGGAGCATGCTGCTCTTCCCAAGGACTTGAGCTCACTTCCCGGCACCCTCACTGGGTAGTTCACAACCACCTATAACTCCAGCTCCAGGGGATCTGATATCCTCTTCTCTTGCATCTGTACCCTCTTACATATGTGGACACAGACACATAAATAAAAAATTAAAGACTGAACATCAAGGCAAAACTAAGGATGTGTCTCAGTGAAGGATTTGCCTACCATGCAGCAAACCTTGGTTCAATCCCCAGTACCACATAAACGGACACAGTGGCACATGCCTATAGTTCCAGTATTTTGGAGGAGAAAGAAGGATCTCAAGTTCAGGGACAACTTGATACAAGAAGCAAAACAGAGAGAGGAGGGAAGGGAGGGAGGAGGGAGGGATAAAGGGAGAAAAGAAAGGTGGCAGAGGGTAAAAGTGGTTGTCTTGTAGGCCTGACAATCTAAGTTCAATCTTTGTAACTCACAGTGGAAGGAGAGAACAGACTCTCAAAAGTCATCTTCTGACCTTTACACTGTGGTATGCACATCCATACTCAACCCCCTCCTCCCTATGCCATAGGATTTTGTATAAGGACAGAAAGGTATGGAACCTATGCTGTCAACCAGAGCAGACATGACACCTATGGAACACTGTGAAGGTGATTGACTTAATTCAGTTAGTAAAATAACTGCTTAATAGCAATTATTTTAAAATAGTCACCACCCTGTGACTGCTGAGCACATGCAATGTAGTCAGGACAACTCAAGAAACTGAATTTTAAAAAACATTTATTTTTACCTCTACGTACATGTATGTGTGTCTACGTGTGTATGTCATATGCACCTATGTCTGTGAAGGCTAGAAGAAGATGGAAAATCCTCTGGAGTGGGAGTTAGAGGAGGTTGTGGGCTACCTGATATGGGGGCTGGAAACTAAACTCAGGGCCTCTGGAAGAGCAGCAAGTATTATACTAACACATAGGGCCACCTCTTCATTTTCACACTTTTCTCTTTTACAGTACTAGAGATTGGACCCAAGGGCTAGAGAGACAGCTTCACCATTAAGGATGAGTAGCTGGAGAGATGGCTCAGTGGTTAAGAGCACTGGCTCCTCTTCCAGAGGTCCTGAGTTAATTCCCAGCACCCATATGGTGGCTCAAACCATCTATAGTGGGATCTAATGCCCTCTTCTGGAATAAGGTTGCACATGCAGATAGAACACTCATATGCATAAAATCAGTAAAATAGAAATAAAGAGAAATACAAAGAATCAATGAAACCAAGAATTGGCTCTTTGAAAGAATCAACTACATAGACAAACACTTATCCAAACTAACTAAAAGGCTGAGAGAGAACATCCAAATTAACAAAATCAAAAACAAAAGGGGACATAACAACGGACACCGTGGAAATCCAGAGAATCATTAGGTCATACTACAAAAACATGAATTTCACAAAATTGAAAAAAATCTAAAAGAAGTGGACAAATTTTCTATAAGTTACCACTTGCCAAATTTAAATCAAGACCAGATAAATTATTTAAATAGACCTATGAATAGCCTAAGGAAATAGAAGCAGTCATTTAGTCAGTTTCAGAGCAGAATTCTATCAGACTTTATTTTTTTTAAAGATTTATTTATTTATCATGAATACAGTGTTCTGTCTGTATGTGTGTGCACGCCAGAAGGGGACACCAGACCTCATTGTAGATGGTTGTGAGCCACCATGTGGTTGCTGGGAATTGAACTCAGAGCCTCTGGAAGCACAGCCAGTGCTCTTAACCTCTGAGCCATCTCTCCAACCCATACTATCAGACTTTCAAAAAATAGCTAATACCACTACTCTTCAAAGTATTTCACAAAATAAAAACAGAAGGAATATTGTCAAAATCTTTTTATGAGGCCACAGTTGATATCAAAGCATACAAAGATTTAACAAAAAAAAGAGAATTACAGACCAATTTCTCTCATGAATATTGATGCAAAAAAAATCAATAAAATACTGAAAAACCAAATCTGAGAATGCATAAAAAAGATCATCAACCATAATCAAGTTGGCTTCATCCCAGAGATTCAGGGATGGTTCAACATATGAAAATCTGGCAATGTAATTGACCATGTAAACAAACTGAAAACAAAACAAAACACATGATCATTTCATTATATGCTGAAAACACCTGTGACAAAATCAAACATCCCTTCATGATAAAAGTCTTGGAGAGAATAGGGGTACAAGAAGCATACCTAAATATAATTAAAAGCAAACTACAACAAGCTGACAGCCAATATAGAATTAAATGGAAAGAAACTCAAAGCAATTCCACTAAAATCAGGAATAAGACAGGGCTGTCCACTCTCTCCATATCTATTCAATATACTACTTGAAGTTCTAGCTAGAGCAATAAGACAAGAATAGAATTGGACAAGAAGAATTGGAAATTCAACAAATTGGAAAAAAAGCAGTTAAAGTACAGCTATTTGTAGATGATATGATAGTATTCATAAGTGACCCCAAAAATTCTACCAGGAAACTTCTACAATTGAAAAACACCTTCAGTAATGTAGCAAGATACAAGATTAACTCAAAGAAAATCAATAGCCCTCTTATATACAAATGATAAAAGGTCTGAGAAAGAAATCAGGGAAACAACACCCTTCACAATAGCCACAAACAATATAAAATGTATTGGGGTAACTCTATTCAAGCAAATAAAAGACCTGTGTGACAAGAACTTCAAGTCTTTGAAGAAATTGGAGAAGATATCAGAAGATGGAAAAATCTCCCATGCTCATGGATAGGTAGGATTAACATAATAAACATGGCCATCTTACCAAATGCTATCTACAGATTCAACATAATCCCCACCAAAATTCCAGTACAATTCTTTACAGACCATGAAAGAACAATACTCAACTTCATATGGAAAAACAAAACAAAACAAAACCCAGGATAGCTAAAACAATCACGGACAATAAAAGAACTTCCAAAGTATCATCATCCCTGATCAAGATCTAATACAGAGTTACAGCAATAAACAGTGCACAGTTTTGGCATAAAAACAGACACATTCATCAATGGACTCAAAGACTCAGACATAAATCCACACAACTATGAACACCTGAATTTTGACAAAGAAGCCAAAATTATACAATGGAGAAAAAAAAGCACCTTCCACAAATGGTGCTTGCATAACTGGATGGTAGCATGTAGAAGAATGCAAATAGATCCATATCTATCATCCTGCATAAAACTCAAGTCCAAGTGGATCAAAGATGGCAACATAAATCCAGTTACACTGAACCTGATAGAAAAGAAAGTGGTAAACAGGCTTGATCACATTGGCAGACCACTTCCTAAATATAACACCATTAGCACAGTCACTAAAATCGACAATTAAGAAATGAGACCTTATGAAAATGAAAAGCTTCTATAAGGCAAAGGACACCATCAATAGGACAAAAAAGGCAGCCTACAGAATGTGAAAAGATCTTTACCAACCCCACATTGGACAGAGGGCTAATCTCTAAAATATATAAAGAATTCAAGAAACTAGACATCAAAAAAACAATCCAATTAAAAAATGAGATACAGATCTAAACAGAATTCTCAACAGAGGAATCTCAAATGGCTAAGAAACGCTTAAAGAAATGTTCAACATTCGGAGCTATCAGGGAAATGCAAATTAAAATGACTCTGAGATTCTATCTTACACCTATCAGAATGGGTAAGATCAAAAATACATCCTCTCTGTTGGAGAGGATGCGACGCAAGGGGAACATGCCTCCATTGCTAGTGGGAGTACAAATGTGCTCGGCTACTTTGGAAATCAATATGGCAGTTTCTCAGGAAATTGGGAATCAATTTACCTTAAGACCTGGCTATATCACTCTTGGGCACATACTAAAGGATGCCCAAGCATACAAGGACACTTGCTCAGCTATGTTCATGGCATTATTATTCGTAATAGCCAGAACCTGGAAATGGCCTAGATGCCCCTCAACTGAAGAACCGATAAAGAAAATGTAGTACATTTACACATTACACAATGGAGTATTACTCAGCTGTAAGAACAATAACATCAGAAAATTGGAGGCAAATAGACGGAACTAGAAACAAAATCATTCTGAGTGAGGTAACACAGATCCAGAAAGACAAACATGGTATGTAGTCACTCATAAGTGGATATTAGCCGTAAAGTAAAGATAACCATGCTACAAACCACAGACCCAGAGAAGCTAGTTAGCAAGGAGGGCTCAAGGGGGATGCATGGATCTCTGTGGGAGTGGGAAATAGAAGATATTTTGTGGATGGATTGAGGAAGGGTGGGGATGGAAACATGAGGGATAAGGTTGGGGGGATGGACGGGGGAAGTACTGAAAGAGAAGAGTGGAAAGGAGGGGCATTCTGGGATCAGGTAGAAACCTGGCATAAAAGTAGCTCCCAGGAATCTACAAGGATGACCCCAGCTAAGACTCCAAGCAATGGTAACTGGCCATCTCCTGTGAACAGGCACGATTGGGACACCAACCCAGTTACATAGCCCTTGATCTACAGTTTGTCCTGCCTATGGGATGTACTGGGGTAGCAGTGGTGTAGAGGGAGTGGCCAACCAATGACTAGTCCACCCTGAGACCAATTCCAGGAAGAGCAGGCCCATCCCTGACACTGCCTGGAGTGCCCGGATCCAGAGGCTGAATGACCCGGAGACCTAGAATAGAAACAAACATGATTGGAAGGGAAAAAATGTCAATGTAATGATGACTAACGATATTCTGCCATACTCATGGCTTGGTGCCTAGCCCAGTTGCCATCAGAGAGGCTTCATCCAGCAACTGATGAAAACAGAGACAAAGACCCTCAGCCAAACAATAGGCTGAGCTTGGGAAACCCCGCTGAAGAAAGGGTGGAAGGATTATAGGAGCCAGAGTGGTCAAGGACATCACAGGAAAACCCACAGAAACAACTGAGCTCATAGGGAGCCTGCATGGGACTGATCTAGGCCCTCTACATATATGGGACAGTTGTGTAGCTTGGTCTTCTTGTGGGACTCCTAACAGTGGAAGCAGGGGCTGTCCCTAACGCTTTGGCTGTCTCTAAATCTTTTGCTAGCTTCTGATATATTATTCCTCATACAGGGTTGCCTTGTCCAGCCTTAATACAAGGGGAGGTGCTTACTCTTACTGCAATCCAATACACCATGCTTTGTGGACATAGGAGGTCTGCCCTTTCTTGACCAGAAATAGAGGAAGACTGGATGGCAGGGTTAAGGAGAGGTAGGGGGCAGGTACAGGGAGGGAAGAAAGAAGGGGAAACTGTGGTGAGGATGTAAAATAAATAAATATTTAAAATAATAATAAAAAAGACCAAGAGATTGACCTCAGGGTCTTGCACATGCTAGGCAAGTGCTCTGCTGCTGGCCCACACGCCCAGCCCTGCCTGGGGTTGTAGACAGGTGCTCTACTAATGAGCCAAACCCCAGCCCTTCACTGGAGGAGTCTAGGCAAACACGTTATCACTTCTAAACCATTTCCTCAGCCCTCTTTTGTTCCTTTAAGTTTGATTTTTTTTATGTGTGTGTGTGTGTGTGTGTGTGTGTGTGTGTAGTATCTTACTGTATATATATATCTTGTACATGCTTGATGCCCAGAAGAGGCCAGAAGAGGGGAGTAGGATCTCCTAGACTGGAGGTACAGTTGTGAACTGCCATGTGGGTGGTAGAAATTGAACCTGGGTCCTCTGCAAGAACAGTAAGTACTCTTAACCACCAATCCACCTCTCCAGTCTGGAATTTTAAATCTTAACTTCTCAAATATGAGCAAAAAAAGTCATCTGACAATGAATCCTGGGAGCTGAGCACTGGGTGAGGATGTGGGAGTGTGAAGACATATCAGCAGAGATGGCTGAGAAGGAACAGTCTAGGAGGACCACGACACCAGGAAAGTGTGCTAAAGGAGGGCCCACAGGGTCAAATGTGCCAAGCTATGGAGATGAGAAGAGCTGGGAGGACTTGGCCTCATAGAGCTCTGAATCATAAGCTTGTTGCGGTGTCAGTGAAACACAGCAAGTAGGCAACTGGCTGCAGGGCTCCCACCCTGCCTGTTCATGGTGTGATACCAGTGCCCAGCAGACTCTGACCTGAGTTTGCCACAGTGAACTCCAGCTCAAGCCTCGCTGCAGCCTCTGATGCTGCTGCTACCATGGGAGTCGGAGTTCAGAGAAGCAGCAAGTAAGCTCTGTGCTGTTTCCTTCCTGCTGTCCTGTCCATTTACATGGAGCAGACACTCTGTCCTACCCCTTACCCCAGTCCTAGGACCAGCTCTTCTCTCCAAGACCCAATTCCATTTCTCCATTTATCGGATTCTGAGCTCTTAGCTTCAGCTTTGTCCCTGTACCTTGTGAAGGCCAGGAAGACGAGAGATGGCACACAGGGTGAAAGGTGGTGGGAACATGTGGGAACGGAGGTGCTGAGCCCAGAGCATGCAGAATGATACCTGCGCTCCTGCTGGAGTCTCCGAGTTATCCTTTGCACCTGATGGAGCCTGTTCAGGACTCGCTCATTCACCTGAAGGAAGGCAGAAGAAATGCAATGGTTTGAACGAGAAATGTCCTCAAAGGTGCTGGCATTTGAGTACCTGGTTCCCGGTTGTTGACACTATTTGGGGAGGTCTAGGAGGTGTGGCCATACTGGAGGAAGTACATCACTGGCAGCAGGCTCTGATGTTTCAAAAGCCTCACAGCACTCCCAGCGCTGTTTCTCTGCTTCATGCTTGCTGTTCAAGATGTGAGCCCTCAGTTTCCTGATGCCTTAGCTCTACCATTTTTACCTGAACCCTCTGGAACCCTAAGCCAAAACAAACTCTTCCCTAAGCCTTGGCCATGACATTTTATCACAACAACAGAAAAAAAAAAAGTAACTAAGTCGGACACCCAGGTCAGCTGGACTTCATCTACTCCCCGTTCACTCATTCAGTGTTTCTAATGTCATGCCTTCCATGTACCTGGCTCAATGGAGACATTCTGAGGCCCTTCTTAATTTACTCCTTTCTCCTCCCCCCTCATTTTCACCCAGTGCCAAGGGCTGGTGTAGCATGAATTAATACAAACCCAGAGACAGAAATTGGGGTTCAACCTGACCAGAAAACCAAGCCAACCAGCCACTGGCTCTTCCCTCTACCTCAGTCTGAAATGGTGATCCTGACTCCAGGAACCTCAGAATGAGACTGTGTGAGAGAGTTCTCTCCTCCAGTCTTATATTCCTCTCTAGGTCTGGGATCAAAGGCGTGCACCACTACTGCCCAGTTTCTATGGCAAACTAGTATGGCTACTGAGATTAAAGGAGTGTGTCACCACTGCCTTGTCTGTAAGGCCGATCAGTGCAACGGTTTTACTCTCTGATCTTCAGACAAGCTTTATTTATGAAAATACAAATGAAACATAGCAACAGGCTGGCATCCCCCCTACTCCCAGAGCACACTCCAGGTCTAGGGGGTCTTCTTTCCACATTGTCTCCCTTCTATTTTGGTTCATATTTTCCCTACAGTCAATTTTCAGTTAAAATGTCACCTACTCAGGGAGTCACCTTAGGCCTCCCACCAAATTGTGACACCACTTCCCCAGTTATCACACCAGAACCCTGGCCAAACATTCTCTATCTATCTATCTATCTATCAATCAATCACCAGCATCTTACTATGTAGTCATGTTTGCCTGGAACTCACAGAACCCTGCTTCCATTTATTTATTTATTTATTTATTTATTTATTTATTTATTTATTTATTTATTGGGTTTTCAAGACAGTGCTTCTCTGTGTAGCTCTGGCTGTCTTGGAAGTTCGCTTTATAAACCAGGCTGGTCTTGAACTCACAGACATCCACCTGCCTCTGCCTCCCAAGTGCTGGGATGAAAGTCGTGGGCCACCACTGCTTGACTCCTTTACTTTTTCTTTCTTTTAAATAATTTTTATTTAAATTTTATTTTATATGCATTGGTGTGAAGGTGTCAGATCCCCAGGAACTGGAGTTACAAACAGTTGTGAGCTGCCATGTGTGTGCTGGGAATTGAACCTGAATCTTCAGGAAGAACAGCCAGTGCTCTTAACTGTTGAGCCATCTCTGCAGTACCCTCTTTACTTTTTCTTACACTCACATCTTCTTTACTTGTTTTGCTTACTGTCTGTCTCCCTACTCACAACATAAGTTCCCCAGAGACAGCCCTCAGAAGCCCTGCTAACACATTGACCACGTCTCTAAAACTGTCAGGGACTGAATATTTTGTTCCACTACCAGTTTGTGAAACTTGAGCACAGCAGTCAGCCAGAGCACACCTGATACAATCATCAGTAGAGCCTGATAAGCAATCAGACCTGGCCCATCCCCTGTGGGTCTCCACTGTCTCCCCCCCCACTCCACGCTAGCTCCCATTCATACAAAGAGAAAATTCCAAATTTCTTGCCTGGTGTTCCTGGCTAACTAAGACCTTCACTCTGCCCACTGCTCCTCCCCACTTCTTAACAAGGAGATGAATTGAATGGTTCACATGATGAGTTCATCTGACATACAGGTTTCAGGGATTGGGGAAGAAGGACCCAAGGAAGGTTTAAGAAGCAGAGCAGGTTGGCCGCTGGTAGCACATGCCTTTAATCCCAGCACTCAGGGGACATGGGCAGGCAGATCTCTATGAGTTTGAGGCCAGCCTGGTCTACAGAGCTAGTTCCAGGACAGACTCCAAAGCTACACAGAGAAACCCTGTCTCAAACAAAACAAAAACCAACAACAACAAAAGAGGCAGAGTAGGTGAGCCTGGAGGTGCCTCCGGTGAGAGGCAGGGGATCCATCTACCTTGCTGAGGTGAATGAACTATGTGAGAGTCACCTGTGACGCACCAGAAGGCAAATCAGGTGTCCAATGCTGTGATGGCTATTTAGTTTTTCAGCTTCACAAGATTTAAACACCTAAGAGACAAGACTCTATGCTTATGTTTAATTGAGGTAGGACGATCCACTCTAAATGTGGGCCGCACCATTCCATGGGCTGGAATATGGAACTTAATAAAAAGGAAAAGTCAAGCTGAGTACCAGTATTCATCTCGTTCTCTGTCTCTCTCTGTCTCTGTCTGTCTGTCTCTCCTTCCAGACTATGAACACAACATGACCAGCTGTTCCATCCTCTTGCTACCATGCCTTCCCTGCCACGATGTATCCTCAAACTGTAAGCCAGAGAAAGCCCTTCCTCAAGATGCTTTTGTCAGGTACTTTGTCACGACAACAGGAAAAGTAATGAATACATATGTTCTGGAAGAGAGCATTCAGGGTGCCTGCCACAGAGTTCGACCCGCATGGATCTGTTCGTTTGTTTCAGTACAAGATTACACGGAAAGAGAAAGAAACTGGGAAGAGGAGGAGGCGACAGTTTAGGACAGAGGACCCCCAAATGGGAATCCACACTCACCTACCTGCTCGATCTCCCGGCAGCGCCGACCTAGAGCCTGGTACTTTCTTCTATTTAGTTCCCGTTGGCGACGCCTGCGACCCCGGGCTGCCTCTTCCTCTTCATCCCGCTCCCGGAGTCCTGAACCACCGAGACCACCGGACACAAACTCCACTTCTGTCTCTAGCTCACTCTCCAGGATGTGGCCACCAAACAAGGGAGGTAGAGCCAGCTCTGAGCCTGGTGGCGCTGAGAACTCTTCAAAGCCCACGGCTGCCATGGTCCTGTAGGGCCGATAGTTTTCAGGAACCGTGCATTCGAGCTCTCCAGTCCCTCCTCAGACGCTCGGGTCCAGGTTCCAGTCTTCCTCCCTCACACCCAGGGGTCCAGGCCCCAGTCCCCCTCCCAAACACCCAGGAATCAGACCCTAGCCTCCTTCCTCACACGCAGGAGTCCAGACTCTACCCTTCCTCCCTCACATCCAGGGATCCAGGCCCCAACAACCCTCCTCCCTAACACCTAGGAATCAGACCCTATACCCTCCTCTGTCAGACCCTGGGGCCCATGCTCTAGCCTTGCTCTCAGATCCATGACAGCACACAAACTCCTAATCTTCTACCCTAGGATGCTCCAGTACAGCCCCCAGCACCTCAAAAAAAGATTCTAAAAGAAAGCAACTGCACAAACTACAATCCCCCACCCTCTTTGAGATCACTTTGATCGACCGCTTCACATCACGCAGCCGTGTTTGCGGATTTCTCTTTTACACAAAGGTCAGCTACTTACCCCTCTCTCTGTTCCAGCTCCATTTCTCGGGTCAGGAGACACCTCAAACCTCAGATAGGAGGAGCCGTGCACAAAACTACTTGTCCCATCAGGCCTTGCGACACAGGAAGGCTTAGTGACTTCTGGGAATTAAAGTTTCCTACCCCCACCTTAGTTTGCACCCGACTCTGAATTGCGGCTAGAAGCCCTTGGTTTATCCTCTAGCGCCTCCACCGATCGTCTACGTCGTCACCGTCTTTATTCCTGTCTCGTCGCGGTGTCATAGAGCCAGAACGATTCTCTACTTAACGGGCTCAACCTACAACGTTGCATAAACTTGTCGAGCCTCACTTCCCGGTTCTCCCGGTTGCCGTCCAGCTAGACAACTGCTAATAAAGTTGTTGTCCAAATGCCACCGGAAATGTCTCGGGAAGTGACCAATCAGAACACAGATTACCGGCGCCGAGAAGACGACATCAAAAAGCGCCGACAGCTCCATTTCTTAGAAACGGTCGTGAGAGGATCGAATTGGTGGTGAGTGTGCTAGAGAACTGAGGGCGGGAAGTCCAGCTACTGGGTCTAGAGGAGAAAATGTAGAGGCCGACTTAAATCATAGCGTAAGTAATCATAAACGTGTGAAGCGCCTTAGAACCAACATACAGGACTGCGTAAGCCAAATCGTACCGTAGTTTAGACTGGAATGGAGCGTGTGGACCATGCAGGTGGAATGTGAGAGCTGAAGGCAGGGTGAGGGAAAGGGCCAGGTTAGGCAAAGGGAATGATTGTTCGAAGGCCCAGAGGTGTGGAGAAAAGTTGCCAGGTCAGGTGGTACCTGGAGGGGTGTGCTGTAGGATGTGTGGTTAGGAACTGGAGACATCCTCCATGAACAAAGCAGGCGGTGGAGCCTGCGTGCTGTTGGAATTGATGAAGAAGAAACTTCAGGGGTTTGGGAAGGAGGTCCTCCTTATGGTAATCTGAAGGGACAGATTCGAGGTGCTGTATTAGGGAACCCCATTCTCACTTTCCTGTAGGCCCTGGGATGTCTCTGGCAGATGAACTCTTGGCTGACCTTGAGGAGGCAGCAGAAGAGGAGGAGGGAGGAAGCTATGGAGAAGAAGAAGAGGAGCCAGCAATCGAGGATGTACAGGAGGAGACACAGCTGGATCTTTCTGGGGATTCAGTCAAGAGCATTGCCAAGCTATGGGATAGCAAGATGGTGAGTGGTACCCTATACGTGAATATTCCTGGGAGGAGGAGGAGGGATAGAACAGCATCCTGGTTTCTGACCGTGCTCTCCTTCCCCATCAGTTTGCTGAGATCATGATGAAGATTGAGGAGTATATCAGCAAACAAGCCAAAGCATCAGAAGGTGACTCTTCGCCCTCAATTTCCTCTGTTCATTCTTCTGACCCTGTGACTCTTTTGCTCCCTGAAGTTTTGATGTTTCTGCCCCCTCGACTTTCTCCATAGCACTCTTCATTTCACCCAGTCACCAACCCTCGGAAAACGTATTGTATTGTACCCAGTTATGTTCATGTGTGCTTATATCTCATTCCTTGAAAGACTGAGACAGGAGGTACATGAGAGTTCAGGTCCAGCCTGGGCTACATAATCAAGTCAGGGTCAGCCTGTCTCAAAAACTCTGTCTCAAAAATATGTGTATACACTGGTTAGTGGTGGTTCATGCCATTAATCCCAGCACTTGGGAGGCAGAAGCAGGCGGATCTCTGTGAGTTCAAGGCCAGCCTGGTCTACAAGAGCTAATTCCAGGATAGTTAGGGCTGCTGTACAGAGAAACCCTGTCTCAAAAAAAACAAAAAAAAACATATATACATGTAGCCGATGGGGCAGTGGATCCTTCTGGAGTGACTCCTGTGCTGTGTGAACCTAGGTTGCAGGTGTGGGTAAAGTGGACCTAATATTTTTCCTTGTGAGACCTCCATCTTTTGAGTGCCAGTCTGAGACTCTTGCTCATTAGCCTCGGAGCTTTGGAGAGCCACAGGGGGGAGGGGGTTAGTTTTGTAGCAAGATGAGGTCAAGACTAGAGTAGCCTAGAGAGATGAGAGGCAGGAATAAGGATCCTAGGGAAGTTTCCAAGCCCCTAGTGCATCCTTCAGCCCCTTCTTCCTGATCACATCCAGCTTCAGTGCCAAATCTTCCCTAGCTTTGTGACTTAAGAGGGGCGCGTGCCCCTCCCTCACCTACATTCCTTCATCTTCATAGTGATGGGACCAGTGGAGGCAGCCCCTGAGTACCGAGTCATTGTGGATGCCAACAACCTGACTGTGGAGATAGAAAACGAGCTGAGTGAGTGATGGGAAGGGCCATGGGACAGCTCTGCTTTGTGCCCTTCACTCTTTCTCTGTGACGCAAAGGGAAGAACAGGCATGAACCTGGACCTCTTCTGGTTACTTTTCTTGGACTACTGCCCTGACTAGGTTCACCTTCTGTAACAGACTTATTTACATAAAGAGACAATGTATTCTCCTTCCTAAAAGTCTGAGTAAACACCGTAGGTCTAGAGTCACCCTTTGACCCCCCCCTTCAGCAGCCAAACTCTGCCATCTGTTTTATTCTTTCAGGTGATTGCCTCACTTCCATGTTCCTACCAACGAATGGGGAGGGAAGATAGGGCATGGTTGGTTCCCTAATGCCATGATCTGGAGGTTGAAAATGCCAGTTCAGTTCACATCTTGTAGACATTAGAACAAACTCCCACCTACACATACACTGGGGACAGCTAGGAAATGTAGACTTCATGCTGACATCCATGCACCAGGCCATGATTTGGGGTTGAGAGGTGAAGGTGGGTGTTGGGGATAGCAGCAGAGTCTGCCTCCCCCTCAGTGGACACCTGCCCTCCCTGTCCACTTTAGACATTATCCATAAGTTCATCCGGGATAAATACTCGAAGAGATTCCCTGAGCTAGAATCCTTGGTCCCCAACGCTCTGGATTACATCCGCACAGTCAAGGTGAGTGGAGAGGAGTCTGGCTCTGGAAGAACTGGGTCCACTAGATGACCATGAAGCCTCGGGGTATAGAAATGATGGAAAGGCATGAATAGGACTCAGTTGGGGAGGGACAGATACTAGTAAGAATGCCTCACACACATCTCTCGCTTCTCTCCTCCCCTTGGTCTTGTGGGAGGAGCCCCATTGACCTGGCCCTTGCCTCTGGCTGCCATTGGAGCAGGTGTCCTTTGAACTGGTATCTGAAGGCTGACATAGGCAGAGGCCACAGCTAGATAAGAGCTAAGATCCTAAGTGGGAACAAACAAGAAGGAAGTGAGAAGAGGCAGGGAGGGGAGCTTGGACAGGTCAGAAAGGTCAGAGCACATCAGACACGGAAGGTATTGGCTCCTCTGGGAGACATGCTGGGAGCAGGTGCAGGTGAAAGACCAGGGGTCCTGCCTCTGTCCAAGAGATGAGGATGGTCTTTCTCTGGTCGTGAGCTCCTGCAGGCTTCTTTAGTGTAGCATGTCTTCCTTGGAGGCCACTTGCTCAGGTTTACTTCTGGGTCAGCAGAGCAGGCAGCACTGATGCTTTAAGCAGCAAAGTTGTAAGACTTAAAGGCAAAAGAGGTCTCCAGTATATGGACCTTCGCTTTCTCAGGTTCCTCAAGGGGAGACCTGTGCTAGTGTTGACGCAAATGAGCTTCTAGTATCTTCTGGGTGTTACTACGCTTTCTTTCTTTCTTTTTCCCCTTCCCACCCCAGGAGCTGGGCAACAGCCTGGACAAATGCAAGAACAATGAGAATCTCCAGCAGATCCTGACCAATGCTACCATCATGGTTGTCAGTGTCACTGCCTCCACTACACAGGGGTACGTATGTCTACCACATGGTAAGGTGCTGTAAGCCTACCATAAGCCAACTAGCAGTAGAGGCCAGAAAGGGCAGGATGGGGTTCACTGTCAGGGTGGTGTTGGCTGAGAGCTATGGCCCCTAGACTGACAGAACTTGTAATAGCCTCAGAGCTACACAAGACACACGTGCTTACAAAGCCGAGAGGGTGGGTGGGCTTATCACCAGTTAGACATGGACCCAGCAGAACTGGGGGCTGTCCCCAACCTTTACCTGCTCCCCAATTCAGGCAGCAGCTGTCTGATGAGGAGCTAGAACGTCTAGAGGAGGCCTGTGACATGGCCCTGGAGCTGAATGCCTCCAAGCACCGCATCTATGAATATGTGGAGTCCCGAATGTCCTTCATTGCACCCAACTTGTCCATCATCATTGGAGCATCCACAGCTGCCAAGATCATGGGTGAGTTCCCAGCTGGGTCCTGTGGTCTGGGACTGCTGGTAAATTATGTTGTCTTGAGAAAGTGGGGCTTGATGTTAGGAGCTCTGTTATGTTGTCATCTGAAGACTGAGGTCAGCCAGCTTGGCGCAGCAACCCCTTCTAAGAACAACTGGCTCAAGCAGGTTACACAGATGACGATGAATCAGCTTCCTCCTGCCAACAGGTTCATTTTGGACCCTGGGGCGTCCACAGAGTAGGAAACTCAGCTTCCTGACCCTCAGGCTTTCCTACTGGATGTGGCAGCAAATTCTGCCATGTGCTAAGTTTCTCTTCCCAAAAGCTCCTGGAGCCAGAGTCCTTCCCTTCCTTGCAGGGGGATGCTCGCAAAGGGAATGTGGCAAAGCCACCATCTTTGCTCACTTAGCTTTGGTCTTGAGTCCTACAGGCCAGGATGCTTAAACTCCCAAGGCTGCTGTTTCAGAGTTGACAAGTCTGAGACCAAGGTGTTGTTGGGGTTGGTTTCTCCCTTGGCCTCTGCTTGGCTCAGGCATGTCTATGTGTCTTCATGCAGCCATGCTGCCGTATCTGTATCCTAATCTCCCTTTCTCACAAGGATGCCAGGCAGATAGCACCAGCATCTGACCTCATTTTATCTTAACCAGCTCCTTAAAGATTCTATGTCCTGGGCCAGAAAGATGGTTCAGCAGGTAAAAGTACTTGCAAACCAAGCCTGATAACCTGAGTGTGATCCCCTTAAACCCACATAAAAGTGGAGAAAGCTGAGTCCCATAAGTGTCCTCTGATCTTCATGCACACTCCCTACACACACACACATAAAATGATAAAAATAAAATAACTCCCTCACACATACACACACAAATGATCCCATACCCTTCCAGATGCAGTGACTTAGACCACTAATCCCAGTATTTGGAAGGGTGAGGCACAAGGATTGCTTTGAGTTTGAGACCAGCCTGGACTACAGAGTAAAATACTGTCTCAAACCAGCAAACAAATGAAGGTGTCTTAGTCACTGTTATGTTGCTATGAAGAAACACCGTGGTCAAAGCAACTCTTATAAAAGAACACATTTGGGTTTTGCTAGAGGCTTGAGCTGTTATCATCATGGTTTGGTAGCAGGAAGCATGACAGCAGGCAGATGTGGTGCTGGAGT